AGTGACATAGACATGTGGGGGCGTGTTAGAACGAGGCGTTTTAGGTAGACGTGGTTGACTCTTAACTTTTATAAAGAATATTTCTTTGGATTTGAGACTTTAGTCTTTGCAACTTTACAGATCTTCTTTATGCACCAAGAGCTTGTAACACTCCAAAGAGAAAGGAAAACTTGAAATCGCATCATATGACCCCTTTAAATAAGCAGTTTTGTGGTTTTAAAAAAAGATAGCTCATATCGCAATTTGAATTTGATTAGTTGTACAGCCCTACTTTTGACAGACTGTATTAAGCCAAAACTTGCCAAATTCCTTGACATTTCACATTATACAATAGATTCCATTTTAATGATTAAATTCCACATCTCAGAAACCATAGAGACAAAAACCAAGTTATTTTAACTAACCATGATAGTCCCAGAGTCAGGGTGCTTTGGATGATCCAGGGATTTGTTGATCATGTGTCTATCCGGACAAACTGTGCTGTCTCTGGAAAGAGGTAGCGTACATTTTCAAGTTAGCAGCATATGTTCATAAATGATGTATTACTTTTTTACAATTTCTACTTGCATTCAACACTATTAATGCCTGGTGGAAGCAGAGACCTGCAGAAGCCGAAGCTCTTAAGGGAGGAGCAGAGGGGTCTGTCTGTCTTCTGCTCCTCTTTGGAAAAAAGATAGCTCATATCGCAATTTGAATTTGATTAGTTGTACAGCCCTACTTTTGACAGACTGTATTAAGCCAAAACTTGCCAAATTCCTTGACATTTCACATTATACAATAGATTCCATTTTAATGATTAAATTCCACATCTCAGAAACCATAGAGACAAAAACCAAGTTATTTTAACTAACCATGATAGTCCCAGAGTCAGGGTGCTTTGGATGATCCAGGGATTTGTTGATCATGTGTCTATCCGGACAAACTGTGCTGTCTCTGGAAAGAGGTAGCGTACATTTTCAAGTTAGCAGCATATGTTCATAAATGATGTATTACTTTTTTACAATTTCTACTTGCATTCAACACTATTAATGCCTGGTGGAAGCAGAGACCTGCAGAAGCCGAAGCTCTTAAGGGAGGAGCAGAGGGGTCTGTCTGTCTTCTGCTCCTCTTTGGCCTGCTGGACGCCCAGAGCAAACTGTAGCAGCTCAGGGGGCAGAAGAGCGCCGCTTCTCCTCAGGTACCGCAGGACGCCACACACATGACGGGCGTTCAGCTCCGACAGCAGCAACACGGACTGAGCTGCAGGAGAGGAGCTCTCTGCATGATCCTGTGCGTGACGTTACGAAGCAAAGCTTACAGCACACTCTCTTATATTTGAATCAGATTTACAAATGTCCCAAAAAAAATTGTACAGGACAAAAGAAATCAAAGCAGGTACCATATCTGAAAGGTTTCTGAAATGCTCTGACATGCAAAACAGGCGGCTGCCGAAGAGTTTAGGGGAGCTGGGAAACCCATAATGCACCACGCACGTGGCGTCCCGGATGCCGAGAGCCTTAAGGCAGTCATTGGTGGTAACTGAAGGAAGAATGAAAGTTCAGACAAGAAAGAACGCTCCCTAATATTAGCACATGGCCCCGTTTGGTTATGTTTTAGCAACCATTTCTTAACTTCTAGGAATGTCGTCTGTAGGTTTTTTTTGTGTAACCATGAATAAACCTTACATATTGAGCGATGAGTTGATATAGTAATTAACAGAGGTTAACACTAGAACTACCAGAATTCTATAACTACTAGAATGGCCATAGCGGTCATTCTGACCGTTCATACTAGACTGAACTGAATGCCATTTTTGTCATATCCTATATTTACATTCGAAGCTTCTTTTGAGGTTTTACAATGAAGCTTTGAATGTCTGTCGTCAATACGACATTTTTTGTAATATTTAATTATAAGAGCTACGTAGACCGCTCCCGAATGTGCGTGCCTCGCTTCATGTCCGCCGGCAAGCGGGAGAGCAAAAGAGCAGTGAAAATGTGGTATTTGAAAGTCTAAATGCCAACAAATATGAACTGAAGCAGAATATTTCTATAGATAAAACATTTTGTGAATTTCGGAAGTGATTACATACATCTTTTTTCAATACATTTTTACTTTTGCACTTTACAACGCTCTGGAGTTATTGGAAATGCTTGGATCACATGAATCGGAAACAATTCTATGCAGCCACCACTGGAATCGTGATCCATGAATAAATGGATCTGTTATGATAGTATAGGTAATAATAAACATCATCACTGTCGCTAAAAAAAAAACAAAATAAAACAAATTAACCTAATTAGTTTGTTTTATTTCACAATATCAGTCTTGTCGGGGCTAAAATTAGCCTATATACGCATTAGCTATAGCATTACACTAGCATAAAATAATAATAGCCATTATTATTATTGCTATTTTGTCATACCATTGAAGTAGGCTATTATTGATAACAGCCAGGCTAGTCTTCCAGCCTAACATACTTGGAACTGTGGCAGATTGAATGACAGCACTTGTTGAATTGGAAGTGTCCACCCAGCTTTTTTACGAAAGGGAATTTTACAATAGAATATAAAAACAACTAGAACAAAAGTTGCTAGGCAACAGTGAAGTGCATCTTCAACCACGGGAAAAAGTCGCAAAAGCAGAAATTATACGCCCTCTGTAATGCGAAAGGTCAATTTGACCGCTTTGGCCATTCAAGGTAGAAATACTCAGAACTCTTTTGCGTTTTGTCATTTTAATAAAATAACAATGTTATATAAAATATACACATATTTAGGAAAAGTCAGGGTATTATAGTTATATGGGTTTTATTTCAACAAAGTTATTACATTTCAAAATTTAAAAACGGTCGAAATTACTGCCTTGGTAGTTCTAGTGTTAAGAGAACATTAAAGGGGTCATATGATGCGATTTCATTTTTTCCTTTCTCTTTAGAGTGTTACAAGCTCTTGGTGCATAAAGAAGATCTGTAAAGTTGCAAAGACTAAAGTCTCAAATCCAAAGAGATATTCTTTATAAAAGTTAAGAGTTAGCCACACCTACCTAAAACGGCTCGTTCGAACACGCCCCCACATATCTACCTCACTATGTGGGAAGATTTGCATAACGCCGCCCAAATGTTCACGCAAAGAAAGAAGGCGTAACTTTTATTCTCACTGTAGTATTGTTGCCGCTGCCGCCATGTCCTGAAGACGCTGTGTGCTTCGTTGTGAAAGCGAAGCTACTTTGTTTGGTCTTCCAAAAGAGGACGATATCCGCTTCGTTATGCCTAGAGCTGATCTGTGCTGGTCGCTGAGGGAATACATCAACTTAGTGCTGTGGATCGCCAGCACATTTTATGGAGGACTGTTTACTGATCCTGGGAGAGTTACGTTAGACTAAAATGCCGGCAGTTCTGACTCACGTAAGTACGTTTTCTTTTATCATTTGCCACTGATGATTCAAACGTGAGTTTTGGGCAGTGTGGATTAACGTTAGCACTTGTTGTTTGTCATTTCTCTGATCACAAATGCAGACATGGTTTTATGTTTACGCGGCGCAATGCAACGCAACGCGTAAAAAGACAGTATAAGTCATTATAATCAGTAATTATGTCCCCACTGGATGCAACAAATGCCTCGTTTGTAATGGGTTTTAATGTTTATGTCTCGTCGCTCCGGCCGGACACGGCATCAACAGTATGGTGAGGGGCGTAACATTTCCGTCTCACGCTTGAGGTATTCGGCCAATCACAACGCACTGAATAGCTGGCCAATCACAGCACACCTCGCTTTTTCAGACCGATGAGCTTTGTAAAAATCGACGCGTTTCAAAAAGGCGGGGCATAGAGGAGAAACAATAATGTACAGTATGTGGAAAATAATGTGTTTTTTTAACTTTAAACCGCACAAACACATTTCATTACACCAAATACACAAAATAATGTTCTTTTTAGCAGCATCATATGACCCCTTTAAGGGAACATTCTCCAAATCTAAAGGGAACATTTTATTTACATACATAAACTTTTTTTTGGCTAACCAACAAAATGTCTGCTCTAGGTACCAAAAATTATTACCTGGAAAGAAAAACCAATAGCTTAAAAACAGAGACGCGTTAACACATTTAGTTTGACAGTTTGTCATATTACAGATACTTACCCAAAATGACTTGTGTTCCATGGACGATGTCTTTCCTCCACTGATCAATGACAAAGTCAAACTGATCCGTCACATCTTCATGAGCTTTCAGTGTGAACACGGCAGTGTTGACCACAGCCTGAATGACAGATGTGCATTACAGTAAAATCCATCAGAAGCGGGAGCCAATCAGCATTAAGACATCAGTGGTTCCAAATATTGCAAACATTCAGAATGCCAGGAAAAAATTGAGAACTTCTCATAAAATCATTCTGTAATGCTGAGCATGAAAGCTAAATTTAGATTTTCACCACCACACAGGCATGATTGCATATATTTAATCTGATTGGTGGATCATTACTCATCCTTCACTGTGATTGGTGGAATTCCGTACCTTATACACATGCTCGGTCTCCTCAGCAGAGTTGGTAATGATGAGGGTTTTCTGGGGTTTGGGCGGGTGGAAGTCCAGCGATCCGAGCAGAACGGAGATCTTATCGCAGTCCAGACACAACTGAACCCTCTGAATGTGAAACAGACTGGATGTCAGAACTCAAGGAGGGCGGTAGAGAAATAACTGAGTTTATGAAGACTGACCTGATGTACCCTGCCGTACAGAGCTGCCTCCTCCATCACGGTTATGATGATGGAGGGGTAAATCATGTGCTCTCTGACCAGAGCCTCTATCCCAGCGCTCCAGCGGCTGCCCACCGCGATGATCTGCCTGGGGCACGAGGACCTCTCCTCTCCAGAGACCACCTTCTGGAAGTGCTTCAGGATTACTGACATCTTCACAGAGAGGTAAAGAGCAAAAACTGGTCAGACAAATTTTGAGTATGTATCAACAGCTAAAAATGTGCTGTCCTCTTCTCTTGTCACCTGCTCAGGTGCTTGTGAATAAAGGACATCAGCCTCATCCAGCACCAGGTGACACAGTCTCAGGAACAGGAAGCACTGAGCATCCAGCAGCCTCATCATGGTAAACGGTGTTGTAACCAGCAACTGGCCTTTAATAACATCACAAAGGCAGACACAGCAACATTAAAGCTAGCTTTGGTTTTGCTCCAGATTCAAATGAGTTGAAACTCTCCACAATCAACATTCTACTCGATCTACTGCAGACAAAAGCTCACAGTTCCTCTGGATCTTGAACTTTTTGGGCTCTTCCTGGTCCACACCCAGCAGCACACTGGTGGGATGGAGGTTGTAAGTTGCTTTACTGTCCTCCAGGAGCTCCAGCACTGTCTGAACCTTCTCCCACCCTGGACACAGGATCACTGCTATGGGCTGCAGACAGAGAGAAACTGAAGATGTAGCAGCAAAACTGGGATCAGATCATTAAAAGTAAGGCGGAGCTGCACTATATCAGAGATGTTCTGTGAAGTCTAAACGACAAAACGAAAACCCTCGTTTTGTCATCATTCAATGTTATTTGATTAGATAGCCCAAGAGTGATGGGTGAGCCCATTATGCCCAGAGGTGGATCTGCACCATGCCAGACATCTTCTATGAACTCTTGTGCATATGCATGGGCTTTTCTAAACATGCTACACCGAACTGTTATTTTCATCATGCCATACAAAGTTGGAAATTTGAAATGCTTATTTTGCCCTAATTTGATGTTGTTTACACTAATATGAAGTTTCTGACCACCCCTTAAAGTGGTCTGAGTGACTGAAGTTGCATTGGCCACCTTTCACATGTGCATTCAGTGTGGTATTAACTTGTAATTAGATCAACCAAGACTGATGGTAGAGGTGGAGCTGCACCATAGGCAGATGTAGCCCAGAAGTGGAGCTGCACCACAGGGCCCACCAGAACCAAACACGGAGCTGCACCAAAGGGACCAGTAAACCCAGAGGTGGAGCTGCACCATGGATTTTCTTTAAGCCATTTAGTGTGTAACTCTATTCTTCTTTGAGCTATAACAGAGCAGTGAATCTCACCCCAGTGCGAGCAGCGAGACTGGAGACGACAGAAACCGTCTGTAACAGCATCAGCAGAGGAGGAATGTAGGACAGAGGATTGTCTCCGCTGTGTGACACCAGTACTGTGTCAAAACCTCGTGCCACAGCGGGCCAACAGTAACTCTCTGCTACATTCGGTCCATTATACTTCCTCCACAACAGGAACTAAAACATAATCAAAAACATAACCTAATCAGATACAACAGGTCAAGTATCATATATTAAAATCATTAATACAGCTGTCCAATTATACCTCACATTCCTCCATTTTTGTACACTTACAGCAGGAAGTTAACCGAGTTGGACTGACTTTCCATTGTACTTTGCAGCAGAAATGTGTCAAATAATGCAAAATGATAAATAATGCAATGAATATTCTAATATGGACAATATTAAAGCATGTTGATCGACCTTTCTGAACTGCTCACTGATGGGTGCACGTGTCAGGTTACTGCAGGGTTCAACACGAAGGGCGGCGTGCACTATAACTCCTAAGTGTCCCGGATCACAGCGTTCAACCTGTAAAAACCATACAGGAGAGACTAAATACCAAAATATAAGAACTAAGAAATAATAAAATCCAGAATACAAACTATGAGGCTCTTACTTTGGCATCAAGAGACTCTTGGTCTGGATTGAGTGGATCAGGGTTTAGAAACTGCATAAGTCTGACCACAATTAAATAAAATAAATTGGGGAAACGGATGAAAAAGATGAAGCAAATTAGATTAAATGAATATGATGTTTTAGCCCTGAGGGTCAATAGAAGTTTAGAAGTAACGTAAAACCTACCTAGAAGAGGTCAGTTGATCTTCAAGACTGGGCTCTTGTGAGAGAGCTGCCACTTTCTGCTCTTTAGAGGAGTCACTCGCACTATGAAGACACACAATCACAATTTCACGTCAATTAGCTGGGTTGCAGAATGACTAACTGGTCTCAAGTAAGCCCTGTATAATCAGGCTGGTTTCAGATTCACTTGATGCCAATCAGACACGCTCATGTTCGGTCCTACCATGATGGTGAGCTTGCAGCTGGAGTTGAAGCAATGCTGTTATTATCGGTTTGATCAGGCTGGAAATATTAAGAGTGTCATTTCACGGTCACTCATTTTCTGATCGTTATTCACTCATGCACTAACTGCTTCAATTTCAGAAGATACAAAAAAAATGTATATTATTAGTAATACAATTTTGAAAGACACATCAGTACTTACTTGAGGAATCTGCTTTGAATGTGAAAGTGTGTTAAACTTCATGTATCTGCGAAAAAAAAACCATTTACTTTATTACTTAACGTACTATTTACTAAACTACTTTGTTGGCAAGTTAACTGAATTACTTTGTATATTTTATTTTGGATTGACACCTGACTTAATGAAGATGGTAATTCAATCAAAAACTCCATTATACATGAGTTATGAGCTATTAAGTCAGGAGGGACGAGGTTCAGGTGGAAATCTTACCGAGGCTTGTGTATGTCAGTCTGACCACAGCGTTCATCTGTGAAGATGTCAGTGGCCTCGGCTCTGATTCGCCATCCTCTGCCAATCTGAATCAAACCACAGAAATAAGAGTTTAACTGGCAGACACACACACACACTGCCATATCACTATAAACGAACACTTACAGTATCGGTTCCAGCATTGCGGGTCAGTTTAGGAGCTTGAGGGTTAACCTGAGATGGCATGTGTGCTTCATCCGACACCTGTGGTTTCTGCTTCTCAGAATGAGAAACTTCTTCTGTTTCTGAATGAGAAACAAAGTAAATGTAGCGTGACTATTTAAAAAAAAAATGCAAAAAATGCAAAACACAAGTGATATTAACATCTATAATAACTGATGTTCACTTATTTTGTCCAACCCTTGTATACTGTATATATATTCATTCATTTATTAGCTTGACCTGTCTGTGGATCATCTTTCCGCTCTTTTCTGGTGAGAATATCTGATGGTGGAGCTTTGACAGGGCAGCGTCCTTTCATTTCTAGGAGCTGGTGAGGGCTGGAGTAGATGTCCCACGCCAGGCTGATAGGAGCGCGATCTCCATTCCTGTTCCCTTCCAGCGCACTGGACTTCTCACTCATGAAACAGGCAAACTTCTTCGCCACGAGCTCATGGTTCACACAGATCTACACAATCACAGTAAATTGCAACATAACATTTACCCCTAAATCATCTGCAGTCCATCTCACTTGTTCAAAATCCTGCTCAAGACAACTCTGTGTTTTGAGGATGGCAAAATAATGCCATGTAAACATATTTTACCTTTGTATTATTGATAGTCAAGTAGAGTTCAATGGCAGAGCAGCCTGCCTGCGTTTCACACAGAACGGCTTCAACCAGAGTCGACACTAAAAACAAGCAGAGCCTCAAAAATCACTAAGTACTGACAATAAGCATGAGCTGGATTAACCAAAGCACACTTTTACCTTGTAATAGATTGTGCAGGTATTTTGTGGCAGAGCTGTCCCATGTTGAAGATGGACTGTGATCCGGACAGATACAAACAGTGGCTCAGAATGCATGAATGATGAACAGTGATGCAAAAAGGTTTCTTCAGGAGATCTGACTTACACAAGCTCTGCTGTGTTTTCAGAGATGGGCACCTGTAGTGTCATCGGACGAATTCCAGCCAATTTAAAGCATCTCACTCTGAAAGGAAGCTGCAGGAACTTCTCAAGAGGAGTTCTTACACTGAGAGGGAAAAAAAACTAATGTTACAAAGTACTAATGTAATGTGGATGTCCTGTGGATGAAGTTCTGTGTCAACTGTTGTAGCAACTCATAATGTAATAACTGCACATACTGTAATAAGTATTACATTATTAATGTAATAAAATGTTCATAATGTGATAATTTTCTCTAAAGGTAATAACATCTTGGGCACATAATGTAATAATTTTAGGAGAAGTGTATTACACCATAAACTCACCAAAAATATTGTCATTGTTATAACTGTAATAGTTTTTTAAAGGGGTCATATGATGCAATTTCAATTTTACCTTTCTCTTTGGAGTGTTACAAGCTCTTGTACCAAATACTGTTCTTTTTAGCAGCATCATATGACCCCTTTAAAACATAAAACATTGGAAGTGATAGTAGATTTTTAAAATATGTCCTTTTCAAATAGCACCAGATTCAAATATTCATGCAATTATTATTATTATTATTGAAGTTAGCATTATTAGTGTTATCACGGTACAATCGAATAGAATATAGAACCATCCTCTTCACATGGGCAAAATGTGCTTATGCTCAACGGCATGGATTGCATTGGATTGACGGTTTAAATTGAGCAGTGTAACTTTTTATATGTTTGATTGACTATTTTATTTTTATAAAGAACAGGCTGCAATGTCAAGTTTGCAATGCTAGAATATGTTGTATGTGCGTCAGGCTCCGGAGCAACTGAAGAGTGGAAACATAAAATACTATAAAACATAAAATGACTTTTTTGGTCATACATATATGACATCATTCCAAACTGCAAAGTGTTTACTTTTATTTGTTTACACTCACAATAAAAACAGAACATTGTGCTTTTGTAAAATAAAGAAAACAAACAGAAAGCACTTTCTGTCATCTTGGTTTCCTTTCCGTGAACTTGTTTGTGGAGCATGTCACAAAAGTGAACCAAATGCAACATACTTCATGTCGTACAGTTTTTGTGTTTTTTGTCTTGTCAAATATATTTCGTGCATTTATTCCATATACATAACAAATAACCTAATTACAAGCAACAGAACAAATAAATACAACTGAGCAAATAAAGAACTAAAATAAACAGTGCTTTTCAGATTTTTTTTAGGTAGGTCTAACAGTTTTTAGGTGCAGAATTGCATATTTGACTGTATTAAAGATTAATCCTTATTAAAGTTACAAAAGCTATTCAATCAAGAGCAGTGAGTGATTTCCTTGTCTTTTGTTGTTTGATTAACATTAAGAAAGTGCTGTCACTTTAAGACAATGCACGGATCCAGTACACTGATACTGCACGTTCAACCGACTATTAGTCTGCTAGGATCCTCACCAAGATGGGCATTTTGACAATTTTTGTGTGAATTTATCCATTCAAGCACAAGTCTTGAAAGAGAACTCCGTATTTGCGCGCTCTCCGAGACGCGGGTTTGGCACTTCGGGTGAAGCTTCTCATTCACGTCTTCTGGGTCTAGTTAATATTTAAACTGGCAAGGCTTAAATGAGTTTAGTTTAAACACAGATAGCAATGTGTGCTGTTCAGGTCTCACTATCAACACCCGGGTGATGACAGCATCAATGACTCATACACTCGCCTTGAACAAAGAGTGTGTCCACATTTTTTTTGTTTGTCGCTGTTGTTATAATGTATTGGGAAGCCAGAATGCATATTTATCGACAGAAACATACATTAGCCGAACTCGATCTGTTTTACATGTTATTTTTAACCAACCATTTTACAGATGCGTTGTCAGATTTAAGTTGAACCACGGTGCAAGTGCGTGCCGAACCGTGGGCGAAGAACAGTACGGTTTGATTTTTTTACACCCCTAATATATACATTATATACTATATATATATATATATATATATATATATATATACATACA